CTCTCGCACGCGCTCACAGCAGCAGCAGAAGCAGCAGAAGCAGCAGCAGCAGGCATCATGTGCAGCCTAAGTCGTGGTATGTTAGGTAACTCTCCCCCTATATATCACCCACAGGAGGCATCATGTCCAGCCTAAGTCGCACTTGGACTCAGATGACGAGCAGGTTTTCCCTCATTTAGCCGTGTGCAGTTTGGCATTGAATCCATGGACATGACTGAGAGAATATTGTGACTGGGAGTAAGCTGTGATGGCATCAATCTCTGCTGTCCCTATGGACTCAAGCCTGGAGGATCAAGACATAAACTTGGTAAGCATTTCTCGCCTCCTGTACAACCACCTGGTTGTGAATTCCGGCCTGAAAAAGAACCAAACCAATCCCTCTGATGAGCCATCTTAGATGCGAGAGGCAAAAAGCAGTTCAGGACACCATCCCTCAAGACTCGCATTGCCAGTCAACCACTTTTCTCAAGTGTATTGCTAACTTTGGGCGAGGCAGTGAATCTTATCCATCAGTCAAGTACATCCTAGGCAGACTGTCTGTGTTGAACATCCAAATGAGTCCACGAAAGACCGATGGAAGTATGTCACAGTCACCCTTTCCCAGAGTCGTGCTTAGGGAATGCACACCACACATACAACCTTGATAAGGGAATGCACACCACACATACAACCTTGATAGATCTCAGTTGAGGCAGATAGATGTGGCTAGTGTCAGGACCGTACTAGCGGTCATGCCAGTGGCTGTCCTGAGTGGGCGTGTAGAGAGGATTTTGCGGCTGTAATTGCCATTAGTGTCAGGGGTCTGAACTAGACAGTCTGCCAAGTTGCAGGGTTAAAGTTGACCACTTTTGTCAAGGGTATTGCTAACTTTGGCAAGGTGGTGATTCTTTATCCATCAGTCAAATTTATTCCCCACATAGCGTCGGGGTTCAAACTCCTGATGAGTCGGTGAAAGTCCAATGAAAAAGACTGCCAGCATCACCCTTTATTGGTGCTCTCTTTACCGAATACACTGCACATACGGCTTTGCTAGCACTGTGTTGAGGCAAATCAATGCAGCTAGGGTCAGGACCGCATTAGCAGTCCTGCCACTGACTGCCCCCTGGTGTGATGGACTAGTTTTCCAGACTCACTGTCATTATCATCAGTGGTGTGCACTAGAAAGTCTACTATTCCAGGGTTTGTGTGAGTGGAGTGGACCAACTCTCTCACTAACTTTGGCCAAGGTGGTGAGTTCTTATCCATCAGTCACATACATCCTGGGCAGTTGTCGGGGTTCACCCTCCTGCCAAGCCCTGAAAGTCCAACGAAACAGTCTGTCACAGTCACCCTTTCTTGTGGAGTTCCGTTCATCGAATTCTTGTGGGGTTCTGACGAACCTACTAGGACACTTACAGCGAGAACAACACAGCTCTGAAAATTTATCAGACACTACGACCTGGGACAGGAGGATATGGTAGGATAGCTGTGGAAAGGAAAGGACTGGGAACTTTAGATAGTCTCCTGCTTTCCAACGTCCCTCCCATCCCTCATTGCCCTCCTGGACTCTATGTGCCTATCTTCCATTTTGTATCTTGTATCTTATGCTTGCCGGCGGTAAGCAACCGGATGGTGTCCCCTAGATTATAAATGGGAATCCTGTTGTTCAAAAAAAGAAAAGAATACACAATGCACACACATGCACTTAAACGCAAGTGCCCATGTGCACACAAACGCAGATAACATGGGAGTGTTTCCTTCTTTTTTTTTTTTCTGAATGGGAATGTTTCCTTCATACATTGAAAACTGTTGTTTGGCAGCGAAGCTGCATCACGTCATCTAGCCCTCATAAATGCTCTTGCTCGTAAACGGCTTCGCATCTCAGGCTGTCCCGATGGAGTTCTCATGTCGTTACAACAGATCAATACTCTCACAACCACCAGAAACATACTGGACTCCACAGGTTATTGTTAGGAGGGAAACACACCAATTCACTGAAAATAGCATTCATTAGCATACCTGTGCACATTAATGATTTGCTGCAAACCAGCCCTGGTTGCTGAACAGCAGCGCCCCCATAAGCTACGGCAATTTGTATCAGCTGGCACTGTTTTCACAGCAAACAGCAATGATGTAAGTTAGGTCTTTCTGGCATGGGCCTTTTGAGAATCAACCGAGCCAGATCAGAGGAAGACGGTGTTGAGAAGGCAGATCATGTCTATCAGAAACACTCTACCATGAGCAATCTGTTGATTTCACGTTTCTGTGAGGAGACAGTGCAAGAGTGGCACACACACACACACACACACACACACTTGGGTGCGGCCGAGCATGAATCTGGATGTGCTTTATTGAAGTTCCATTATGACAGGTACTCAGGGTTCAAGCCTTAGGACACTCACACTAGCACATTTTTACTTCTTCCTGGACACAATTGTGGCCAGATACATACAGCTCTGGCTGTAAATGTGGGCAGATGCATTGTGTCATACAGTCTGTCTTAGTCGTACATCTCTTACCTTCTGCTCTGAAAAGGGGAGGGGGCCTGCTAGGATTGGCAACACTTATCACACAGCCAGCCATTCTCAGACTGACAAGGCAGGTGGCCCCCTAAAGCCATTTTCTAGCAGGTGATGCTCCCCACCAATTGATCTCGTATCATGTACATTATGAGGGATGCTGGACCCGCTTTCCAGCAGGTGATACTCCCAGAGTCCCCACCAATAGATCGGAGCCATCCCCTGGGGTGCTACTGGGGTCTGCTCATATACCAGCACCACTAGCATGACCGACACATGTGTTTTCCCAAAAAAAAAAAAAAAAGAAAAAAAAAAAGAAAGAAAAAAAAAAAGAAAGAAAAGAAAAGAAAAGAAAGAAAGAAGGATAGTGATTGTATGAGTAGTAGAGATAGACTCCATGCATAGGACAGGATAGTGATTGTATGAGTAGTAGAGATAGACTCCATGCATAGGACAGGATAATGATTGTATGAGTGGTAGAGATATACTCCATGCATAGGACACAACCAAGTGTCAAAAAATACACTCAAGGTATGAAAGATAGACGAAATCATGCAAAAGAGGAAGAGGGAGAAGAAAAAGACGAAGAAGTTGAAAAACCCCCAGGGCATCAGCTCGTAAAATATTCAATGAAGTGCGCGAAAAGGATGGCGATCTTGGCGAAGATTGCCATAGCGTGAAGAGCCAACTGGCGATTGTCCCATTCTTAAACCACCAGTACTTGGCCCAGCTATTGGCCGCGGGAAAAAGTAGAGTAGAAAATTAGACATGTTTCTAGTCGGATGAATTTGGGTGCTCCTGTAGTGGCCCGTACATTTCCTAAAGTCGTGGCTTGTTTACGGGCACAACTTTAGGTAGTACTCCTGGTTTGAAACCACTTTTCTTGAGAGGTTGGCCATTGCCGCACAGCCTCTCGAATCCCTGACGGAGATAGAGGGGGGGGGGAAGGGGGGGAGAAGGGAGATTTCAGACAAGTATTTCGCGTGGCCCTCTCAAAAACCACTGCATCACCAGACTGACGTGACCCTCTTGAAAATCACCATATCCCCAGACAGAAGTGACTCTCTAGAGTTCTACGCCTTCTCTCCACAGCATCTTGAGACGTTGAGGTTGGGTTAGAGAGATGTTTGTCCTGTCCTCAGGGCAGTTCATCCTTCCCCCATTCGTGAGGGCTGTGTGGTGAATGGGTCCAAACTCACGGACCAACTCTCAAAGACCTCAGAAAAAGCCTCACCGTCAGATATTACGCATAATCAAGCCATCAATGTCAGATAGACTTGTCCTGACTAGAGTCCAACCGCAAGATGCTGAGGTATGTCCCTTCCCAACTACCGTCTTCACCCGGTCGTCACCCAAATAGAACGCCCAGTTGGGTAGCTTCGGTAGCCTCAGGACCTGAGGCGGCATCCAGATTCATGATCGTAATTCAGTCCTCTTTGCTGCAGGTGGGACTTCACAACGGGGGTCTCAAACCCACATCCTGGAGCAAGGTCCCTCTTGCAAAGAGGATTGGACTGAACGCCTGAATCTGGACGGGTTTCAGCCAGAGATGCCGAGAAGCTGATCAGTAGCCATTTTATGCACCTGTCGAACAATCTCATCCAGATCCAGAGGTAAAATCCAATCCTCCCTGCTAGTGGGACCTCACCACTGGGACCAGGCAAAAGGGGGGAAAAAATAATGAGAGAAAAATAACATGGCTGCAGTTAAGGGTGCGCGGTCAAGGATTGTATATGTTCGAGTAGTGATCGAGAAACTTTCGAAGAGTTTGGGAGGGTTGGAATAAGCGTGCTGAATCTGGAGAGGGTCAGAAAATCGCGACCGATCTGCTTTTCTGCATCTCTCAGTGATACACGTCCACAATCAGGCGCTTAATCTGGTCCTCTTATTAGCTATTGGGACCTTGCCCCAGCGGGGGTCCAAACAGGTATCATCATAGTATCATCATGGAACACACCCCCCACACACACAAAAAAAAAGAACAGAAAAGGAAGGAACCAACTAATTGCTTCCTTGTGGTGGCCAAATTGCTTCCTACCTCTAACCCTCCCCCCCTGTCCAAAAAAATAACAAAAAATAAAAAATAAAAAAATCCGAACATGATTTGATGGATTGGGTTGGATTATAAACAATCAAAACGTACAATGCATATTTCAGCGTTTCCCGCGTGTCTATCCGTCATCGGATTTGTTGGTTTGAAAAAAAGACGAAAGCGGGTCATCGGGGATAAGAAAAAAGGCCTGCTCGTAAAAAGACTGCAACGATGCAGGGGCAGTCTGAGTCTAGGGCCTGTGCGGACGATATCAGAGCCTGCAATGATGTTTCCCTCCGAAAGGAAGGAGGTACCGGATGCTTGAAGGCCGCGCGGCCTGGAAGTCACCGCCCAAGGAGGCTGCCTCACTATATCTCCAGGAAGAGCAATGAGCTCTTCCTCATTTGCTGCGTGCAAGTTTGGGCGACATGCTGCTGGAGCGTGTGGTGAAGCAGCGCTAGTGTACTGCGCTGAGGGAGGACGAGGAGCACCCAGCTCCCCACCCTGGCTATGGTGGAGCAGCTCGGGCAGGAGGAGGAGGAATAAGGGACTAGGAGAGGGGAGCACCAGGGGTACTTACCTGCCTATGGTGGATGCCATCTTCATCACCTTGGTGGGCGCTGCATCTGGAAGGTCCCCGTTGGGGTAGAGCTGCATCAAGAGGCTTCGAGGCAGAGTCAAGCATGGCGGCCTGCAAGGAAGAGGCCATAGCTGCTTTGTGTTGTCTTTTGCACGTCAGGGCAGGGCCCTTAGTAGTCCATGATAGCCTCGGCCTGGATGAAGAAGGAAGAGGAAGGCGTCCACGGCTATGGTGGACCTCAAGTTGTGCTGGCAGTAAAAGAGGGAATCAGACATTGATTCCGGTTCTGCCGTTCATCATCATTATTATTATTATTTATTGTTTGAATAAAAGGGGAGGAGAAAAGGAGAAGGAGTTTGGTTGGTGAGAAGAAGGGGGAATTATCATTGGCCTTTTGCTGGTGTACATCTTCTTCTTTCTTTCTTCTTTCTTTCTTCTTTCTTTCTTCTTTCTTTCTTTTTTCTTCTTCTTTCTTTCTTCTTCTTCTTCTTTCCCTCTCTCTCCTCTCAAGCTCATTCATTTCTTTTGCAATTGAACGGCATGGTACTTTCTCGTGATTTTGCACTTTGAAATTGGCCAGGATCGTTACACAGCAGAGAAGCCAACTTCAGGAACCCCATCTGAACATAAGAGACAGCAGGCAGGACTTAGTTGCGAAGTCAAATAAGGACAACAAGTTTTTTGCCAGTCTGTTCCTTCATTCTCGCATGCAAGTCTAATCTCACAGGCGCCAGAAAGGGTCTGCGAGACGTGGAGAATGAATGGCCGTCAATCCTCGCTAGAATAGAGTAATAATTTAATAAATGCTGTACAGGGATCCTTCAGACAAATGGAAGGAAGCGTGATTGTGTACATGCTGTATTCCATGACGTGCCGATGGAAAAGGAACCGGATTCACGCTCCCCAGAATGGATATGGTGCCAGAACCATAAGAAGCTGTTCATAAAAAAGCAAACAAAAACAAAAGGTGATATGCTGCGAGTGACATGTGTTTAAAGCTAAGCCATTGCTTCGTGATCCAATCCCTCAATTGTTGTGTATGCTTCTCGGCTTACAGAGTTGAGCTCAGGTATCAGCATGTACGAGGCTTTTTTTTCTGTGGTTGAAATTGGTCGCTCATTGCAAGACCATCTAGGCCTTCGAGTAAGCACCAACGGTTATGCTATATTTTTGGCATTACACGCTAGTCCAATTCGGCCATTGTGAAACTGCACTGCTGAGCCCTCACAAAACCATGCAAAAGCCTATCTTACGCCCATGCCCTTCACACCTTTCCTCCCTCCCATGGAGTCCCACTACAATTATCCCCCCCATGCCAACTTTTTCACGTGCAACCGTCCCAGAACACAACATCCACATTAGAATCTCGAAATCTCATCCCTAAGATAGAAAGCATTGGTGACACAAGATTTGGTCTGTGGGCATCAACAGTCCAATATAGTTGTCGTGCCTGGTGTGGCATGAATTAAATCCTGCATCAGACTTGAGGGGACAATGTCTGTGATCCAACCCCACTCACCCCCTTCCCCTCCACCCTTCCATTGACAAAAAGTACAGAGACGGAAAGACGGAAGCACAGGTCTGCAGTGCTCACTCACATAAAAAGGGTTCTTGCCAAGTGTTGAGGTGCTGTACTCCCATATTTGTACTTTCCAACCGTCCGAGAACACAACACTCGCATTGGAATCTCAAATCTCGTCCCTAAGATAGAAAGCATTGGTGACACAAGATTTGGTCTGTGGACATCAACAGTCCAATATAGTTATCGTGCCTGGTGTGGCATGAGTTAAATCCTGCATCATATATCAACGACAGCCTTGAGGGAACAATGTCTGTGATCCAACCCCCCTCTACCCCCTTCCCCTCCACCCTTCCATTGACAAAAAGTACAGAGCCGGAAAGATGGAAGCACAGGTCTGCATTGCTCACTCACATAAAAAGGGTTCTTGCCGAGTGTTGAGGTGCAGTACTCCCATATTTGTCTTGCAGTAGTGCTGCTATTTTGTAAAGCATTTGAGGAGTTGCTTTCAGTGAAGCGTTGAACAATACTTAGGCACTCATCGCACAACTTGCATTTGCTAATGCAGTATGCTTTTGTTCGACACAATGGCTTTCTGGTGGCTTTGTCCTCGATGCGCTCACATTGCTGCATATTCTTATAGCTGTCAAAGCACACTTGCCATGCTGCAGCCAACCAAAAAGAGAGAGCAAACAATTGGGTCAATCACTTAGAAGACCATCACATATTCTCATACCACTTACTGCATCAATGGTGATTTTGTAGAGAAGTACTAAGCACTGTAAGCAGACTATAAAAATCCTTGTCGTCAGAAGACTCGAAATCAGAAACTTCCGAAGTTAATTTCTCCAGAGGGGCGTCGTGATTTTCGTTCTGCACATCAGGATTTTGGTCTTGGCTCTCCCAACACTATCCTGCTAGACATTCATCACTAATTGGGTTCCAAGTTCCAACCTTTCCATGGGTCGGTGACATTCCTACGAACAGCCTGCCTTCAGTGCCTTGGCAATTCTCCTGATTTCATGAGCTCAGTTTCCTTCACCCATTTGATTTGTTGCATTGTTTTGATTGAACTTCATTGCCATGTGCTCTTTGTTGTCATCTCCTTTAGATATGGCTCTGGACGTGACTTTGTTTGGATTTCTGCTTCTCATTTCTTCTTTTTTTTTGTTTTAGCTTAAACCACCACTACCTTTCATGATGTTGTTATGATCCTGGCCAATTTCGAAATACACATTCATCAGATAGTACAATGCCGTCCAATTGCAAAAAGAAATGAATGAACTTGAGAGGAGAGAGAGGGTTAGGAGAAGAAGAAGAAGAAAGAAAGACGAAGAAGATGATATACACCAGCATAGACCAATGAGAAAGCTCTTCTTCTTCACCAATCACTCTCCTCCTCCTTATCTCCTCCTCTCTTATTCACACAAGAAATAATAGTACAATGTTGAATGATGTCTGAATCCCTCTTCTACTGTAGGTATCACTTGAGGTCCACCATAGCCATGGCCGCCTCTCCCAGTCTTCACTCTCATAGGCCGAGGCTATGGCGGACTACTAGGGCCTTGCCCTGATGTGCAAAGGACAACCCAAAGCAGCTATGGCTGCCCTAGCTCAGGCCGCCATGCCTGACTCTGCCTTGAAGCTTCTTGGTGTAGCTCTTCCCCAACTGGGGTCTTCTTCCTGCAACGCCCACCAAGGTGTTGAAGATGGCTGCCACCATAGCCAGGTAAGTACCTCTGGCGCTCCTCCCTAGCCCTGGCCTTCTTCCTCCTCCGTGTCCTTGCTCCTTCCCCAGCAGCGCTGCTGAATGCTAGCGCTGCTCCAGTCAGCGCTCCAACCAGTGTGTCGCCAAACTTGCACACCGACAATGAGGCTGGGCTCTTCACCTGGCCTGGAGATATAGCGGCCTGCTTGCCTCTTGGGCGGTGACTTCCAGGCCGCTCGGCCTTCCAAGCAACCGGTACCTCCTCCCTTCCGGAGGGATACATCATTGCAGACTCTGATATTGCCCGTACAGGCCCTATAATCAGACTGGTTGGACTGGTACCCACCTAGACCTAGCCTACAACTACTGGGCCTCTAAAAAAATGCCACTTTGTCTTCTTCTGCTCGGCCTCGAGTACCCGGCACATCTACCTCTTCAGGGTGTGGTACCGGCCTACCTGCTACTTGAGTGTTTCCCCGCTGCTTCAAGTGTTGAGGGCCTCTTCCCCCACCACTTGAGTGTTTCCCCCCCTGCAATCCTCAATGTCACGGCCACAGGTGAGTACCGGCCCTGAGGGCCCAACGAATGAACAAGTGCCCTTGCGGGTCACACACACACCCAAGCCATCAAGCACTCAGACAGACATGCAGACCAGCAAGCGTGCACACACACAGGCTTAGAGAACTTAGTAGCAAGCGGGAAACTCAGCAAGGCATTCAGTCCATGGGCAAATCAGCTGTGTGTCTCAGTCCGTGTTTGGTCAGGTCATCACAATACCCCCCCCTTAAGAGCGAGGTCCCTTCGAGCAAGTAACTCAGTCTGAATCCCCGACAAACGCGTCGTAAGCAAACAAAGCAAAGAGATTTCGGGAGTACTCTGTCGCAGTGAGCTTTGCAAACATTTTAGGTACAGCATTAGAGGCGATTTGTCGCTCATAGGCTTTAACAACGCGAGGTGCGCTGCGCAGCAGTTCCTTTTTGGAAATCCAGTATAGATCGTCCAACGGGTGATACATAAAGTGAACCTGATACTGTCTGTTACGTCCCTGCCCTACGTGCTGTTTGATTCTATCTATCTCATGACCGCCATTGATCGCACGAGGAATCATGTCTTCACGGTAATCGAAGGACTTAGCATCACGGTGTATATACAGTTTTGATGCATGAGAGACGGGGTATGTGTGCAGATGAGGCGACACAGCAACTGTGTATGAAGGGCCGAACACATCCTTGCACGAACCGTAATAGAGCTGGAGAAGTTTGCATGACACTCCCTCTTCTTCTGAGAATTCAGACATCTTGACCCAGACATAACTTCCCACTTCAATATCTGAAGGTTTGCGCTTCTTGTTTGCATGATGGATCATTGCGTGCTGTCGCTTGGTCATTGCTGTGATGGCGACTTTGAGCAAGTGATCGTACTTGGCGTTGAAGCCAGGCCTGCCTGGCGTTAGACCAGCTGGCTGTTCAAGGAATCAGTAGGAGAGAGGATTACGAATCTGCCAACTGTAATGCAGCCTGTTTGGCACCATGCCTGTGAAAGAATGGATGGAGTTGTTGTACAACCCCTTGACTAAATACAACTCTTCATCTCACGTTTCCTGATCCGGAATGATTAAAGCGCGGAGAAGTTGGAACACCGTCTGGTTGATCTCCTCGGCCAAACCGTTGGCTTCGGGATGTCGGCCAGATGTCACGCATAGCCTGAGACCAGGGAGTTGGGACGTGAAGTCCTTCCATTCAATACTTATGAAGCGCGGGTCCCGATCACTCACAAGAGTTTTCGGGGTTCCGAACTGCAGAATGTACTTCTGTTTGAACTCACGGATCACTAATTCAGTTGGGGCATGAGACGACAAAGGAATTAGATTGAGGAATTTAGAGAAGCGGTCAACAATCACCATTACTTGTGAATAGTCGTTCTTACTTACCTTTCCCATGCAGGTGAAGTCGATACAGACGGACTCTCAAGGTCCATCGGGAATGGGAAGGGGTGTAAGTAGTCCCATGAACTTTTGTTTACATGGTTTGATTCGTTGACATACTAGACACTCAGCCACAAACTTTTCAGCAGATCCCTTCCTACCAGGCCAATCAAACTGTCTCAATAGGCTTCCGTACGTCTTTGCCATGCCGAAGTGTCCCCTTCGGCCATGAGCCAAGTCCAAGAAGTGTGTGCGGAGAGGCTCATGGTTGGGCACACACAAAAGGTCGTGATTTCCATAACGTCGGAAAACTAGTCCTCCATATTCGTGAAAATCAGGCTGACTATTGGGGTCAGCCTGCAACTGCTCAAGAAGGTCCGGGTCCTTGGCAGTGTGTTATACTCCTTCAGTTTCTTCCGGAGGTCGTAGGAATTCACTAGGCAAGTCATGTACTCGGGGTGGCGAGACAACGTATCAGCAACTCGATTATAACAACCCTTTTTATGTCTTACTTCAAAGTTAAAAATGTCGATCTCATGGAACCAGCGAAGGTAGGGGACAGGGTGGTTTGCTCTTTGATCCACTTCAAAGTCTCATTATTTGAGAACACTTTGAAGTGGCATCCCAAAAAATAGTGCTTCCAATTATCCAAATCCATACGCAAAGCATAAAGCTCACGCATGTAGGTGGAAGTGGCTACTTTTTCGTTGGGCATGCGTTTGTTGTAGTATTTGAGTGGCCACAAGCCATCATAGTCATCTTGTTGCAGCACTGCGCCAATCCCATATTGGCTAGCATCCGTAGTAACCACGAATGTTAGTTTTGAATCTGCAATGCGAAGTACAGGGTAACTTACCAAGGCCTTGTTCAGGGTTTGAAATGCGATCTCACACGTTGCGTCCCATGCGTAAGATACATTCTTACTTGTCAATTGGGACAACGGGCGAGCAACAATAGAGAATTGAGGGAAAAACTTCCTACAGTAAGATGCGAGACCAAGGAAAGAACGTAGTTCGCGGATGTTTATGGGTTGAGGTCAGTTGCGTATGACCTCAACCTTGGTTGCCTCAGTCTCGAGGCCTGCAGCAGACAACCGATGCACAAGATAGATGACACTATCCCTCCCAAACTCATATTTTTGTAAGTTGAGATGGAGTTGTATTTTCTTGAAGATGGTGAACAATTCCTCAAGGTGTTTCATGTGTTCCTCGATGGATTTGCTGAAGATCAAAATATCATCGAGATACACAACCACAAACCGACCAATCTGTTCATGGAGGACCTTATCCATAAGGCTTTGAAAGGTGGCTGGTGCGTTCGTGAGGCCGAAGGGCATTACTGTAAATTTGTAAAGCCCATCGCGTGTCTTGAACGCAGTTTTGTGCTGGTCCGCAGGATCAACATCAATCTGGTGGTAGCCAGACTTCATATCGATTTTGGAGAAGACCTTGCACCCACCGACAACATCAAGCAAGTCATCTATGCATGGCAATGGGTATGCATTATTTCTAGTGATGCGGTTTAGACCGCGATAATCGATACACATACGGAGCTTGCCTCCTTTCTTTGGGACAAACAAAACAGGTGCACCAAATTCAAACTCGCTAGGTTTGATCCAACCCTTGTCGATCATTTCGTCGATTTGCTTCCAGATTTCTTCCAACTAGCCGGATCCCATTCGGTACACGCAACCGTTTGGCGGAACAACACCCTCGACCAACTCGATTGTGTGTCGGACCGATCGTGCGGGAACTCCACGTGGCTCGACCAGAACTTTCGGGAATCGATCAAGTAAGTTTTGAATGTTGGTTGGGACCGGTGGGGATAAAGGATCAGCAAACGGGTCCCCTAGATCAGGTTGCAGATTGTGAATGGAAGCGACTGAATTTGAAGTAGTGTCATGTGGACTACTAGAAGGTAGAGACGTAGAAGTGCTAGAAGTAGACTCGTTAGGTGAAGTAGTATTGGTACAAGCCGCAAAAGTAGATGGCACATGAGTAGGGCGAACATAGGGAACATACATTTGTTCGTCC